GGGGGGGGGGGGGGGGGGGGGGGAAGCAGACAGAATCGAGATGCACCACTACTTTTCTAAAGGATGCAGCCATTGGAGCATCATCTGTCATTCCCTTTGCATGCACAATTTGGGCGAAAGCCTTAGCGCAGAGGTGCGTTTGCACTATGCTTTTAACACGGAGAAAAAATAGGCTAACAGAAAATTATCACATCACAAATACAATACTGAAAATATTAAGGTAACTGCATGGAACTCATGAAAATGCCCTAAATAATCTCAGCTTTGAAACTCTGAGTAACCCCTGCTGAAGAGAGCTGCGCATTAGCTTTTTCCTCCTCCTTCCTCTTCCTCCTCTTCCTCACTGTCCTCTTCTCCTCCGAGCTTCTGGCGAGCAAATTCCTCAACCATAACTTCCTCACTGAAAATCATCAGAAAATGAAGGCAAGGCTTCAAAATGAGAGTCAGTGCCCCGAGAAAAGACGATACAACCAATCTCTGATCTTGCATTCACACTCTCATTCCCTCCGAAAGTCTTCTGCCCAGGAACATTTTCTGGGACAGGAGTGAGTAGTACTTTCAACCACCTCACATACACCAACATGTGCGCCCACTAGCTCAGCAAAAATATCCAGCTCCAATTGCAAATTCAGAGTACTTAAGAGAGAGCAGACCTGGAAGGCCCAGCTCTTCACTATCATTGTTCCTGGGGCTTTTGGACTCCCTCCCCCATCCCTTCCCGGGGTCCTGGGAGGCCTCCTCATGTGACTACACTTCCCTTCCACAGAGGCATAGAACGGCAGCCAGCAGAGCAGGTGGGAAGCCACCAGCCCTGTGGCTGGACATTTGCTCTCCCAGGAAAAAGGAGCCGTTCCACCAGGCAGGAAGAGACCAGGGACCACCCTCAGGGGATGGGAGAAGAAACCGACAAGAACCCTGGATTGCTCTGAAGCAATTTCGATAGTGATTCAAAATGCAGCAGTTTCAAATACTAATTCAAAGTGTAAGAATATATAAATATGATTTAGGAGAATGTTTTTTTAATGAAGTCTAAGGATAAGTTGATAAAAATGTACAGTGATACTGTCACATTTATTTTTCTTCTAAACCTCCAGCAAAACACAAGACTATCATAAACTTTCCAATTAATTAATTTTTCATGGAAATTGAAGTTCACTAACATTGAAGTTCATAAAATTATGTTTAGTGGTAGTCAAAAGAATCACCAGTTCTTAAGGGCTGTATGTTTTTGTTAGAGCTAAATTTAGATTGGAAATAAAATTATCCATTGTGATATGCTGCCAATTCTAGTAACCCTCTTTTCTTACCTGGATATTGCTGTCAATAATGTATCAGAAAGAGGCAGAGGATGAAAGAAAAATACATGCACCATTTAGTCACATTAATAAACACAACGTTATTCCAGAAAAACTCCCTGCCCACCTGCACCTATTAGTGTGATTCATGAAGGAATGAAGAGGCAAAGGCGTGGAGGGATTACAATAAGTTAAAACCAGAACTCTGGCAGTTAGATGGACTAGTCAATGCTTCCCAGGAGCAGCAGACAAGAAGGTTTCTCATCTCAATCTTCTGCAGCAAAATCAGTGGAGTCTCTTGCCACCTTATGTAATCACGATTCCAAGAGGTGCCCTGCTAGCCATGGGCAACCCACCACTTTCACACACCCCAGAGTGGGCAGGCCCAAGTATTTAGGCTTCTTTTAAATACTGAAGAGTTGGGGAGTTTATGGGGCAAAATGGGTGCCTGCAGCCTTGCAGATACTTATTTCAACCTGAAAACTCCTGAATCCACCTCTCAAATGTGTCCAGTCCTTAACCTTCAAAGTGCGCCATACAGCCCAGTGCAGCCCTCAAGGAGATGGAGTTTGCCCGTCCTTGATGGGTGCACATGAGAGCTCTTGTTGGTGGGGGATGGGGCAAGAAAAAGGAGGTGATTAAAGGAACTCACCCTTTCGCAAGGCATTGGCCTGGCTGTTTCCCAGGTGGTTAGGTGAGTTCTGTTTATTATCGGGGGGTATGTGTGTGTTCGGTTTGTCCATTCATTTAGGGGGGTTGGTGAGTGGGGTTATCGTTTATCTTTGAGTGCTGTTGTCAGAAGGATGACCAAAAAAAGTATTTAAATAATGAGGAAAGGAATCCAGCCGCAAGACTACTCATGATTCCCATATTCTTCTTAGGAGAGAGATGACCCAAAAGGGAGAAAAGGGAAGCTGGGTTCAAGGGGGCTGTGTGTTGCCCCACCACTGCTGCTCCAGATGGAAATGAGGCAGTCCCTTCCCCGCCACGGCCACAACACCCTTCACAGCTTCTCTCCTGTGTTTTTCTTCTGATTGCCCAGGTTGGCTTTGGTAACCTCTTACTAAAGTTCTCAAAAGATTGCAAATTCTTGAAATTGGATTTTGATTTTTTTTTTCACTAGCAAAAATATGGGTTTTTTTCCTGTAAAATCTGCAATGTGCTAAAAGACTGAATATCTAAGAGTGTGTGTTTTTAAAAAATTATGAGATTTTGAAAAAAGAGAATCTATACCGATCCTTTTGAAAATGGACCAGAGAGTTTGAAGGACCCATAAACTGGAGTTGCCAGCAGGTCCTGCTTGTCACTGGGAGACGCAGGTCTCTGTAAGCCTAGGCTGAGGGAGCCACCTTCCAAGGTTCGTGGGTCACACTTCACTCCCCCAACCTACTCTACTGGAAGGAAGGTGATGGCACAGGAAGGAGGGAGGCCAATTTTTTCCAGCCTGTTCTTCAGCCTTTTTTATGGTTTTAAGAATGAGAAAAGCAAGTCTCTACAAACAAAACTGCTCCAATGTCCATCCCTAAAAGCAGCATGAAATCACACCCCTGAAAGGTGGCAACCAGTGGCAGAAAGTTGGTGGCTGCTTTGCGCCATTTGGGGAGACGTGGTGATACGTCCCAAAGACATACCGCTCCCCAAACTGCCCCATCAATAATCAGTGGATTTGCTCCTGAATTTTTCCCAGCACTGAATGAGCTCTGTGTGGCTGATTGCAAAGATTTGGACAGCATTTTCCAAAGTCTGGCATTCTCTCAGAGTCATCATGTCTTGAAACAGTTGAGGCATGAACATTTTCTAGACAAAACTTTTTACTTACTCTCCTCGGGTTTAGGATGCATCAGAATAACCGGCATCTCAACAGAGACATCACTGAAAAAGAAACCACATCAGTCTGCCGAAAGCAGGCACAGAAATCTTGTTGTGCTAGATTCATTTATGTTTTACATATGCATTTGTTTTATTTAAGTATTTGTTAACTGACCAATCTTATGACTCTGGGCAATGTGCAACAGAATAAAAACAAACCGAATAATAAACAAAGTAAAAAAAATCAATTAAGCACACAACAAAAATATTGGAGGAAACCCCACTCACCACTCAGCAGAAGCTGAAGGATGGCTGAGAATAGAAGGTTTTCACAATCCTTCTGAATACAACAAAGGAAGCTACCTTCCAACCCACTGGGGGCTATGGGGACAAGGCCTCCTGCACATGCAATCCCATGAACCTTGGACGGAGAAGGGACCCTCAGCAGGCCTTCTTCAGATGCCTGAGGCTGCCTAGACACAGTACATTGCCATAGTCCAGCCATGTGGTGGTCTTGGCATGAGTTCCTGCTGTCAGACCACCCTGACCAAGGTGGGGATGTAACTGGCACACCAGCCAGAGCTGGGTAGGAGTTATGAGTCCAAAAGGACCCCCAAGCTGCAGACCACTCCCTCTGGAGGTAGGGTAACCCCATCCAAAGTCCCAACTGGGACCTTGTTACCAGATCACCTTAGTATTTATTGATAAAGAGCAAGTTTGTTTTTGACATAGTTAATCTGAGCTTTTTTTTTTTTACCCATCCAGACCCTGACAGCCTCCAGACACTGGTCCAGGTTGTCCATGGCATCTCTGACTTGGCCTGGAGGGATGATATAAACTTGGGTGCCCTCAGGATACTGGTGATACCTAATTCCAAGCTGACAGATGATTTCACCCAGGGGCTTCATACAGAAGATCACCAGGGAGAGTACCAAGCCCTGCAGCATGCCCATACTGGACTCAGGCACAGCTCCCCTAGGACCACTGACTGGAACCACCCACACGGGTAGTTGCAAAATTCTAAGATAGTGCCCCCAATTCCCGACTCTCATAAGCAATCCTTGGTAGTGTCAAACATGGCTGAAAAATCCGATTTGACCTTTCCCTAATTGAGATCCCTGAGAATATCATATACCAGGGCAACCATTGCCATGTTCATCCCATACTGGTATGAATCTACATAATCCATTTCCTCTAGGATCCTTCTAGTTGAGTACCCACCACCTTCTTTACAACTTTCCCAAAAGTTGGACAAAAGATGTCAAACATGGCTGGCCCATGAAGAGGATTCATTATCACTTCCTTCAAGGTAGGAAAATGTTGTTATTTGAATATCTACTCAGTTTGTCAGGTCAGATCCCATCAGAAATGTTTCAGCTCCATGTCCTCATGAAGAAACAAACCTGGAATATTCTGGTGCAAAATGTAAAATGTTCCTACTGTCAGAACCTGCATCACCCAACTGTTGTTGTTTTCCATTGTATTGCATTCATTGGGAGTTGGATTGATTT